CACACACACACACACACACACACACACATACAAAAAGGCTAAGAATCAACACATCTAGTGGGAAAGGATTCGTTGATCTCGAGGCGACGGCGATTCTTTCGATTCGATCGGCGTTAGGTCCCTTCCGAATTTGACTATGTAAAGAAAGACGGGGAAAAGAGAAAAGGAAATACGAAACAAAACTGAGCGTGGATGGACACCTGCGCACACTTACGAGCTAGCGGTTCTAAAAGGTAACGAGCGCTTGATAGCTTGGTCGGCTGACGGCGCCGTGTTTGTGGCTAAACGGTAAATACGTATAACTCGGTAACCTCGGTGAAATCACAATCGTCGTACGATTTACACACACACACACACACGCACGCACGCACATATATATTATATGTATATCCATTTTGTATATAAATCTCTATGTTTATACATATATCAAAATTAAAACGGTATTCTTTCACGATCCGCTTGGTACACCTTGCGCGCGGCTGACTATTAGTGGGACTTTGTGAGAATGTCATTCGTATTTCAATTAATATCAATCGTCGATCATTTGGCGGACCAGTTTTTCTTCAAGTCCATGCTCGACGGACGAACACGCATCTAAGATGAGATTCTTCGTTGAAATTGCACGCAAATTGTTGGCGGGATTAGCTGCTCCTAGCAATTCGCCGGTTAACGAACTCGATCTCGATAGGCATTGTCAACGTGACAATGGCTATCGTAGATCTCGCGGAACTCGTCAACGTGCGATAAACTAATATCTCCGTGACGACATCGACTAACTAAATTGAGCCTCGTTTCAAATTCTAGCAGCTATATAGGTACATATATTATATTATATTATAATCCGTTAATGTGATTCGTATCGTTGAACACGTATGCATGTACAATAATTGGAAAACAGGGTGTAGGAGGGGCGGAGGGGATCCGCTTGATCGTTTCTCGGAATCGAAAGGTAACGGCAGGAGTTGTTCATACGGCACGATGGAGTCGGAGTTTCTAGCAGGGTTTCTAGAGTGGACGCGCGTTTTCTCGCCGCGTGTTTTTCGTACGACGTTTTTTTCCTGTCTCGTAACACGAGGCTGTCGTAATTCGAATCGGGCTGACCTGTCCAGTGAAATCACGCGTACACAACTGGAACGAGATGAGATCGAAAAAGCGAGCGCCGGTGTACGTGAGAATGTACCGCAATTTCGCGGGTAGACTCGTCTTCGAGAAACTTCGCGGCTTCCTTTTTTGCCGGGGAACTGGTCGGTGGAACTGTTGCCTAGCGTGGAAACTAGTGATTTGCGATCTCACAGAGAGATTTGTCCATTTTCCTCGAAATTTTGTCACGTTGTCGCAACTGTCACGACATCGACGTCGAAAATGATTTAGAATGAAAAGAAGATTCGTTGTGCTAGTTTTATACGTTTGTGAGTGATATCTCAAAGAAAAACGAAGGCAGAGAAGCGAGGAGATATTTCAAGAGTAACATCTACAAGATCGCGGATCGACGAATTAAATTGACTGGGGAATTTCGTTCGACCGGCAACTGTGGAAGCTGAAGAAGAAATCGATTTCCAAGCTTTGAGGTTTCCATCGATTTTTCTTCCTCCTCGTTCGATCGTTCGTCCGACCGTTCTCTCTCCGTCTGAATCGTTGGGACACGCCGGATCGTTCCTTCTCTCGGGTGTATTTCTCCGTTAGCAGTTTCATGGATGTCGAGACTCTCTCGCTCCGGTGTGGCTCCTTTATTGCGTTTCACTTTCGCGATGAGCTTGCCCGTCCGATCGGGGCGTGGCAAAAGTGTAACGCAACAGAGGTCCGAGGCCATCGTCGGCCGGATCGTATGCGTGAGACAAGAAAAACAGGGCGCTGCTATCCTCTCTCGAGGCTTCGTTTGCGCAGAGGAGAGAGATGCCTACACCGTAGAAGCTTAGTCACACCTTGGGCCACCAGTCCTCGTTGTATCGATCTCCTTACGAAATTGGCTCGCTCTTAAAATGAATTTTAAGTAAATACACCGCCGTGTGCACGTGACGATTTCCGATGCGCTTCTCTCTTTTTCCTCCCCTATTTTCCCAGTTTTCAAGGTTTCCGTAGATTTCTGTGACTTTGTAGTTTCAGTGTTTCGTCTAAATTTGATGTGGATCTGCCGGGTCATTCAACAAGTAGACTTGCATCGAGTAGGGGAATCGTTTACATTTATCACATTTGTTTATCGCAACACTTTTGATTTTATTGGTCGATGCACTTCCAATGATGACGATCCTTTATCGAGCGAGTATCAAGGTCATCCAGCTGGCGATTCCTATAATTCAGAAGATCGTCGACATTCCAAATTAGAAAGCGCGAATTGTTTCTCACGCGTCACCGTTCAGATCCAGTGGACACCACTGTTTCCTCGGATTCCTTGGGAAAGAAGACGCCCAACCCTCTTCTCCACGCGCTTTCGGCTTAACTGCTCGTCGATCGCGTTCACCAAGGTCAAGAAGATCTCCCGCCGCCGCTGCATCGTGCAACTCTGCACCTGCGCTACTTGCAGTGAATGTCGGTACATGGTAGAAAGTGCCGATAAATTGCCACCTAGTATCGCGTCGGCAGCCGATTCAATCGCTTCGAAGCCTCCTCTTTTTCGCTTTTCGAGACTCGATCTCCTCAACTTCTGCCCGCTTTAATTCCTCTATATTTCCATATTTCCGAAGCCAAGTTTTTCCCTCGTTGATCTCCGCCTTCAGAGATTCTTCAAGTTTCACTATCGTTTTGATCTTTGGTACCGTAATTCCACGTTTTCCGGCCGAGTTTCCTTCTCTCTTGCCAATCATCAGTCGTTGCTCAACAGACGTGCCGTAAAACTTGGCGAATTTCATTCAAGCCGACGCGAGCTTGATGAGCGCAAAAAAGAACAAGACGCGTAATTTCCCACAGCGTACGTTTCAAACGGATTACCAATCGTCCACGTAACTATCCAGGCGCCAATTTTAGAAGCATTCGCACGATACTACGTCGGCTGGCTATTCGATCTGGATCAGGTGTAATTAATCGAAACGGGCCGCTTACTTACAAGGTCGAAGCGCCACCCGTACATTCGCGCCGATTAGAAAGTCCAGACGAATTCGTAGCCGCGCCATCGCCAGCGGAAGCCGATCCGATCGTTTTCTCCTTAGGTACGGTTTTCAGCGACCATCGGCAGGAAACGAGGGGCAACGCAGGATCATGCGGGTTCCGGCCGATGGCGCCTTCACCGAGCTTCATAGAGTCATTCTGGTAATCGTCTCTCTACAGGAAGCTACTTTTCCTGCGCGTTTTCCCACGTGTCTAGTACTGTTTCTCCTCGACATGAAATTCATCCTCGCATATAACGTTTCATATAATTTCCCAATCTTTTGGGCAAGATTTCTACAATCTGTTTAATCGTTACGTAATCTTTGCATAATTCTTGCACTCTGTTTTTGTTTTCTTTTTTTCTAATTTGACAAAAATTACGGGTAGACAATCTGTTTCTTTGATGATTTCTCTTGCTCTTTGTGAAAATGGTTCCAGGGTCTGTCTCGAACTTCCTCAATGAGGAATTTAATGATTCGTGTCGTTGATGTCGAGTTTTCCCATTGCTTCCGGCCGAGAACGATCTCCAGTCAGTCGATCGACAACCGCACAGATCCGCCCATCGATTTCTACTTTATTGTTCGTCGTCGGCGATCGGCACCACGAATCGGGATCGAAGCGACGAAGTGATTGAAATACACTTTCTAGGTCGTAAAATCGCGAAGTGGGATCGTTTTCAACTGTTCGTCCCAGCCAGAACGAATTCAACTCGCATTTATTTGATATTTCATCCTGGTACTTGATTTTGTTCGACGATTTCGTTTTCTAGCTGTTAGACACAGTTGTTAGAGATTACCTAATTCTTTGAACTGATACTAGATGAGAGATATTAGCATAATTCTTCCAATAGCATAATTTTGGACGAGGAAAGATGAGTACGATGAGAATTCAATTACGGTTTGTCAGCCCACGCGTGTAAATTAATCTTCGAGGCACGATTGGGAATAGGCATTTTAATTTACAGAGTAGAACTTTCGTACTCGCGCGAAATTCATAACAGGAATACCGAAATGTGCGAGTCCTATTACATACATACATACATTGTTTTTTTATTAGCTTATTATGCACACACCAGGACATTATTATTGCGTGTTTAGGACATTATTAGAACGTGTTTTAAAATTTTCATTGTAATACTTTTAGACCAATTGAAGTCATGCTGACCAATTTTATAAACTGAAATATAGAAGAACATTACAGTTATAAATATTATTTTTCAAAACTGAAATTCATGGCTACTTATAATGAAGATAAGTTCTTTGCCAATCCAACCAAGGGTAACCGCGAATATTAAATGCTGAAGGTCCTACTGTATATAAAATTTTATTTTAAAATGGCAATGGTAACTTTGATGTTGTTTCTTTGTCGATTAATTTACGGACGGAACTACGCGCGTTTTGTTGATTTGTTTTTTTTTTTCGTTGGGACAAGTGCTGACGTCTAAAATACTGCTTAAATCGAGGCTTTGCCATTTGCATCGTTCAGTTGTAAGGCCCTGCACATCGAACACTTAGGAAAATATTTTAGGCACGTTCTATAAGGCACGTTCTTCATTTGGCCGACGTCTGAACACCCAATAGCAAACTATTAGAATTATACGAGGACGTAAAACTAGGGAAAGTAATCCATCGACGGTGAGATTTATACCAATCGTCGCGGATAAAAATCACCACCTAACGAGCGAATTTAAAGTTCGATTTCTCACCGGACGAAACGGTGCTACATCCGCGCAACTTGGAATCCCGTATCGATTCAAGGATACTTCGATTTCTAATTAATCGTACCCGACGAAGCGGTTTCGTCGGACGTACGATCGGATTCTTCGACTCAAGTATTGTTTCCCGGGGAAAGCGGCGGAGAGGTAACATCTCGCTGTTCCTCTTGCACGCTCTCGGGTCTGCTGGCAGTGCTGCTCGACCTTGAGCTCAGGTTATCCCTGTCGCTGAAGTAGGAAGAATCGCCCCTCTTCTCTTCCAGTTGAAGTTGTTGCTTGTCGTTCCTGAAGTCGTCCCCTCCGTGACCCAGCAGCCCAGGGAAGTACGGTATCCCTTGTCTCTGCGATGTGATCTTGCCCATGAAGCTGCGAATCTCCTCGAAGTAGGACTCGTCTGCCCTTGGCAATTGTCCGTGATACCTCGATCTAACTTCGTCCAGTATCGTCGGCCCGTCAGCGTCGTGTTTCTTCAAGTGTCTGTCCAGGTTCGTCTGCTGGCCGAAACATCGTTCGCACAACGGGCACTTGAATGGTTTTTCCTTGTTGTGGATGTTCCTGACGTGACGTTGGAGGTTGCTGGAGATGCTGAAGCTTCTCTCGCAGTACTTGCACTTGTACGGCTGCTCGCCGGTGTGCGTCCTCAGGTGCCGCGTCAGGTTCGCCGATCTGGGGAACACTTTACCGCAGAACTTGCACGAGTATCTGTCCTTCGGCTTTAAACCGGCTTGAACGCTGATCGAGTACGGCGGAAGATTGGACGCTGGTTGGTGTTGTTGCTGTGGCTGCTGACTCGAGTGACTTTGTTGCTGCGGCTGCTGATGTTGCTGGCCGCCAGAAGGGCTCGGCACTCTCGTGGCAGCTTGAGACGATGAGGATGACGTGGATGAAGTGGTGGAAGAGAATCTGTTGGGTGGCAACGGTACCATCGTAGGTAACGCGCGGACTTGAATTTTAGGTAAGTCCGGAACCGGCGAACTGTGATGATGTGACCTGTACATGGCCTCGAGGACCAACGGATGAACGGCATGATGCTGAGGGAACAGGACCGTATGATAGGGAAGACTCCCGCCGAGGCTATTCTGATTCAGAACTTCGATCTCGTTCTGATTCTCGTCGGTGAGTCTCTCCTTCTTGTGATCGACGCGAAGATCTAGTGGCTCGCAGTCGAGATCCTCCTGGTGATGAGATTGAGGCGGCCTGGCCGCTGGGCTCATATGGGGCTGTTGCCGATGTTGCTGTTGATTCGTGGGACTCGACAGGCCACGACCGTGGCCGTGGCTCAAATCGTATGGCAGCTCTTCGACGTCCGGCACGCGAACGCTCAACGGGTAGATGCTGGCTTGCTTCGGGCTGATATGGCCCGGCATTTTTCTCGGACTCGAATCTTTCTCCCGCATGGCTGGAGGATACTTCGGGTCGTGCAACAACGTTGGGGGCAGGGGAATGTTACCGAGATATCCGCTCATCACACCGCTTCTGTCACCCTCGGCTTTGCTCCTGCTCGTCGCTCGGAATGATCTGAAACAAAGTCCGACAAATTTTTTACAATCACTCGAGATATAGCTAGAGATGTCGAATGAAAAAATTTGAACGTTGAAATTCGGATTAAAAATTTGAACCAAGAATGAGAGAACGCGCTGAATTGCATGTAGTACCAATGTCAAATTCATTCGTTGTAAATGAATGTATTAAAATTAATTCTCGTAAATCAGTATTTTTTTTACAAGATTAGTACGTAAAATAGACAAGTTTTATCAAAATGACTAGTTCGTAATTTCTCATTTCAGTGCATTTCTAGAGGCTCGAATAATTTTTCTTAAAATGCATCTATAAATAGAAACTTGTGTATTCTTTCCTTTAGTATAGGTTTTACATTTTCGTCGGCAATTCTAGTGTTAAAACAAAAGATAGTATAGCAGTCCTTTAGAATGCTAAACAAGTATATTTAATCCATTATGTAAAAGCCAGAAAAACAGTAAATTTTAATCAGTACATTGAATTCTACATATTGAAGGAATTAAGAAGGCGCGCGTATGTTAAGTTTGGTAATTAAGAGAATTAATAATGTTACGAGCGCGATAAAGCTCGACCACACACGTTGCGAGAAACCGTCGATGTTTCTGGCAAACTCGTTATGCCTTCCATTTTTTTTTCCAAACCTTAAGTGAAACTAGAACGTTCATCTCAGTTTAATTAAAAATTAAACTAAAGAAGCCAATAAAATCTTACATTCTATATATTATAGATCACAAAGATATTTCAGTGACAGTATGAAGAAACTTGTTACTTGTTGGAAGAAATAGACAATATTAAATGGCTATTATGTTGAAAAGTAAATGAATATGTTTTAAGTAATGAATTTATCC